TCATAGTAGCTAGGGTCAGGAGGGACCTGAACAGATCATCTAGCCTGACCCCCTGCCACACGCAGGAATGAATGCTGGGTTCACAAGACCCCAGGACAGGTGATCATCCTCTTGAATTTGCCCAAGGTAGGGGCGAGGACCACTTCCCTGGGAAGTTGGTTCCAGATTTTGGCCACCCTAACTAAAATATTGCCTTCTGATCTCTAACCTAAACCTATTCTCCATCAGCTTATTGCCATTGTTTCTTGTCACCCCAGGTGGTGCTGGGGAGAAAAGGGCTCTTCAGTTACCGTAAAATGGGAAGCTCCTGTCTTTTGGGCTGCATCCCACATCTCGGGAAGTGTGCTAACTACTGGGCCTAATTTTCTTGTCCTTTTATTCACTTCCTGATAATCTATCACCATTCTCCACTTCCCACTAGCCTTTCACACGGGCCATAAAGGGGAATTCCACTGAGAAATGGTGGGCTCCCCAATCTGGCCTGCAATAGTTCCTGCACCGTTTCACTCACCCCTTTTTCAGCCTCGGGCGTCAAGGGATAGGGATGCACAAAACATGGCTTTGCTCCCTTTTCTAATTCAACTTGTATTTCAACTTTAGTATTCCCCACATCCCACTCTGAGCAGACCCATGGCCCATCTGTGGGCATGGGAAACTCCTTTTCTAGGGCCATCACTCTCTGGCGGGGTCCGTCTATAACACAGTGACTCAGGACATTGGTTTCTAAAATCCATATTGGGTGCCAAGTAGCAGTCAATATTGTTGGGACCTCCCGCCTTCCCAACTTTACCATACCTTTAATTTCTCTTCCTCTAATTGCTCCACCCCCTACCCCTTTTAATACTACAGGGCATCCATTCGGGGTGGGGCGGGGGGCGAGTCCCATTGAAAGATTGTAATATCTGCCCCTGTAACCATCAGGAACCACCCTGCCACCTCCCCACCTTCAATCTTAATTTGGGCAAAAAGGTAAGTGATAGCATATATGATATGGGTAGAACAGAAGGTAAATGAACCTTGGATGTTATAACGCATGTCGTTTGGTCCAGTGATGATGTGGTTTGTGTTGACAAAGAGGTACAGCTGGCATTTAGGTCCATTTCAAGATGGGTGAGAATAGGAGTTACGTAACCAGTTGCTGGAGGGATACCATTTGAGGTTGGAGGCTGTCCGTAAGCCAGGACACTGTCATCTACTGTGGCTACCATGGGGTGGTTATTATTTACCAGGAGGGTTTAGAGATCATTAACAATATATCCAAAATGTTCAAGCTGGGGATGTAGGTGTCAACCAGAGGGACGCTGTTGCCTTTGTCATGGGGTCAGTGTTATTGCAGGTCCTAGCAGGGTCTGAGTCCACCTCTGTTGATTTCAGTGGCTATGGTTTTGGGATTGTACTGCAAGTGAAGGAATTCCTGGTCTAGCTCCCTGAGTTGTGCATCCCAGTTGGTGGGATCAGAGCAGATATGGTTATAATGCAGAGCTTGACTGCAGGCAGTGGATCTAGTGGTGTGCTTAGGATGAAAGTTGGTGTAGTGGAGGTAGCTGTAGCAGTTGGTTAGTTTCTGGTACAATGTGGTGGCAAGGTGGCCCTTGCAAAACTTAATCATTGTGTCTAGGAAATGAATTTTCCGTGTGAGGTATACCAGAGTCAGTCTGATGGAAGGGTGGAAGTTGTTAAAGTCTAGTGAAATCTTTGCCATGTCCATATGATGATGTTATCAGTAATATACCTTAGATATATCAGGGAGACCAGAGGACAGCTGCAGAGGAAGCAGACTTATTATGCTGACTCGTTCTACCTTGATCTTTTCTTATAGCCTTGTTATCAAGACTATGGGAGGGAAGACATGTTGGTGGCCTTCATTTCATTTCAGCAGAAATCTATCTGACAAAGAGTTTTTGTCTCACCCTGACATCATGCTGGCAAGGTATTACTTGATGCTGTTCTCCAACTTGCAAAGGTCAGTTTTTTTGGCCACATCTGCAGAACAGCTTCTCTAGCCACTGCTAACTAGAACACAGAGGTGAATATAAGGGTTTGTGCAGAAGTGGATGAAATATGCATATGATATCCAATGCCCAGCAAGCAGGAATAATCATACAGAGGGAGTAGATGAGACAGGGAAAGCTAGAGGTATGACGCAAAACTGGTGTATGCCTTTCAACCATACATTAAAAAAAATACTACTCAATAGACAATGTTCTGACTGTGAAGAAGCATGATTATTTCCCAGTGTTAGCTATTACTAGTGACAGGTATAACTTCTGAGTCTGCATCCTTTAATATTGTATGGGAGCTTGTCTGGAATCAGGAAAAATGTGTATGACAACCACCTTTTACCTAAAGAAGTCTGTCCCAGAGAGTAGGCTATATCACTAGAGACTTTAACCATCCTTAAGACCATGTTCATTTTGCTGCTAAAAGAAGCAACTACCTTAAAAAGATAGTCTAACAGGGAACTGATTATTTTGGCCAGAAAGGATGGCTCGCAAAAAAAAGAGGGTGAAGACACCTGGTTCTTTTCCTATTGTTAGTACGTCCATGCTTCCATCTGCTGTGCACATTAAATATTTTGAGGATATCACGTAATCTAAATACAACAGCACAAGATAAATTGAGCTTTTGCCTAAAAGAATATTTGCCATCACACAAAATTGAAGAATATAGTGAAAATACATACGAGGAATCCCTACTTGTTGTTTTCTTATTGCTGGACCAATATTCAGTTTCTTATCTTTATAATTAAGTTTTTCAGCCTAAAATAAAACAAAGAAAAATAACAGACATTCACAATGCATCTTGTGTGTGAATCTAACTTTCAAGAAAGTCAAGTCAGAAATAAAAGAAAATATGGGAAAAATTTCAATCAACTGTACTTGCTAACTGGTCTCCAGTTAATCTAAAAACCCGGTACATATTTCAGACTATTTTAATTACCTTTATTATACACTGAGCTTACATTTCTAAACAAGTCAAGAGGAACAGACTTCAAAATGTTCAAGTTGTGCAGCCATTCCAGCTCTACATGGTTTGAGGAGAGGTCCAAGGAAGTATATACTGACAGTAAATTAAAAAACATGCCATTGTAACTGGCACCATAGAAGCAAGAATGAAAATTAAGTAAGACAGGCTGGACAGGCAGAGGAGGATAGACATTACCACTCCATTAATTGAAACAACAACAGATTTAATATTTAAGTGACTGGCTTGCATGGAAGAAACTGAAATAGTCATCCCTACCAAAGCCAAAATATTTAGCACGGAAGCATCCAGTTCACACGATTCATTCTGCCCCCAAGACTTCCAGTACCAACTATCTTATATTCATGAGATATCATTTTAACTTTGTGTGGGACCAAGAGGGGAAAAAAAATGTTGCTGCAACAAAATAAGGGTCACGTAGCCCAATGTCTCTCTGGGTTTCAATGTCAACTCATACCAGAGAAACACAGGAGTGCCAGACATCTATTACTATTTGGATATATGGAACATCCTTCCAAATGAAAGAATTTACCTGAAGAAAAAACATAATGATGAATAAATCTTACCTCCTGTAAAATTTTTTGTGCATCTTCTTGTGTTTCAAAAGTGATGAAACCATACCTAGTAAAAAATACATAAATTATGCTCTTAGTTTATTTTTATATTGTATGAACAAACTACATTAAAAGAATATTATGAAGGCAAAAATCAGGATCATGAGAAGTCAAAAAAGGACAAGATTAAGGTTGCCCTGTTCCACATTAAGTCAGTTCTTTCACGTATTTACATAAAAAATAATCTTTACTTACATGATCATGTATTTTTTCCATAAAATGACACCTTGTTATATACACAAAATGAACAGTACTCACTTACTGAGCAACTACTCAATATTTTGTTTTATCCAAATTATTCAATGTGGAGCCATAGGTCTTTTTACTGCACACTATTCAAAATTTATTCTGAAGATGTAATTAATGTATTTGTGGCCTTTGGTATGGCATCATCATCTACAGAACCTCAGTGTTTCATAACAGTTCTGAGGTAATGGTGGGGTATTATCCTCATTCTGTAAATAAGAAACTCAAGGTATTCTCTTAGTTACCCAGAAAACGAGGAACACAACTAGTGACCCCATGTGAAATGTCTGATTTAAGTGACTTGACTAGTGCACAAATTCTGTGACAAATGAGGACAGAATCTTATACTTCAAGGCAGCATTTAACTGCCTTAAACTTAGAACCATTTTTTTCTTCCTTGTTCCAACTGAAGTGAAAGAAAGGTCCTACAGAAAACAGCCTCATGTACTGCATAACGCTGATTCACTTCCAGAACAAATCTGGTCTATACACTGAATGAGGCAGGTGTTGTATAGTAAACAACTGTATGTGATTATACAAAAGACTATACCACTATAAATGCAAAGGTTAATTTTTGCATTTCCTAACTTAGATTACTGATTTTACAACATAAATGTCTTTTAACATAGTTTCTTATGTGTAGTTTCCTAGGTTTTTATAAAATCAAACTGAAGAAACAGAATTCCATTATGTGGCATTAGACTGACACCTATGTTTCTCAGCCAGGTATAAACTTTAAGAGCTAGCATGCAGAACTCTGCCACTTCACCTAACAATTTAACAGATGGTACTAGCAGATTATCAATCCTTCTCTATGGACCAGCACTAAAAGTTTATGGGACAATGTGCAAATGGATTTCACAAATATTTGTGTAATTTCAGGAAACTGAGGGCATTTATACACATACATTTTCGTTCCGCGATGCACCGGAGATCCACCACTTCAGAGCAGACTTGATTAATCAAGTCTGGTCCACATGCGAGCTGAGACAAATTGCACTGCATCATGTGCAGTTGTATAAGCAGTGAAATATGCAACAGCATGAAGAAAAAGGTGGCAGCAAGCTTTTAAACTAAAGCACCTCTGATGTGTTTTAGTTCAAATGTGTGCCACTTTCTCAGTGCTGACATGCATTTTGCTACTTATACAACCGCACGTGGCACAGCACTGGGCACTTTTCAAAGCGCCTGCCACTGTGGTGTGTGCATATGTACAAATGCCCTGCGGTTCCATTTCAGCTTAGGAGAAGAGTTTGGCTAGTGGGCAAATTTCCACCCAAAGCATGACATTCTGCTCCATCCTAACCTGCCCGCTGCTGTCAAAGTCCTCTTTATGGACCCCTGCCCCCTTACTGAAATCCATTTTCTTTCCTTACACAAGTCAGTCCCCACTGCTCAGACTTCTTATACTAATCTCCTTGCCCAGACAGTCCTGGATTCTCCCTCTGGTCTCAGCATTTGACCAATTTCCTCTTCTTCACTAGCTCTCAATCCCTGTTACCTTCTCTAGCCTCATCATCCAACCTTATAGTTTCAGCCTTCCACTTACTTCTCACATACACACACAATCTCCCCAGTCCTTGTCCAAAGATCTTTGTTCAGGTAACCCATTCTCCCCCTGCACCTAAGCTCATTATTACCTGTCTCTCCTTTCCCTCCATTCCCATTCCCTCTTCCACTGGCTCCTAGTAATAAAAATATACAGTTTTCAACAGACATGTGTCAATTTTTCTTGTAATTTACAACATGAACAACAACTAGCAAGGAAATCAATTAACAAAAGTTCTTTCAGACACAGGTAAGTGCAGCTTGGTCCAACTTGAGCACTTTTCTACCTGGAAAAGTATTAGCAGCTATAAACTACCAACACCCACACATAGACAATTTTATTTTAGTGTTAGAGTGTTTTTTCAGTGTAGTATAAACCCTCTCTCAAGTGACACAGATGAAATCAAAAAGCTTACCAGAATAACTATACTGTAATACAGCACACCAGTATGACCCTTTGTATTATTTACATTTATATCCTAAGTTATACTGAAAAAAATCTTTCCTATGCAGAGAAGAACTAAGCCTTTTAGAACTTCCCTTTAAAGGCAACACCAACATGAGTTGAAAAAATTAAACCAGGAAGACCTCTATTTGTACAGCTAGGACAAACCATGTTCTAATCTTGAAAATTCATATTGTTATGGGTAATTCATATGATTTCATGCATCTTTTAAAGGTAGTTCAATGTGCTGCATTATATAGGAAGGAAATGCATAAGAAAATGTATTTTTTGCTAATATAAAAGTTAGAGGTGCACTGATAGGTCAGTTTTACGGAGCGAGATCCCCAGGGGCTGCCGTAACGCCCCTGGCAGCTCTGTGACAGTACAAGCTGTACCCCAAGGGCACCCTCTTATCTTTCCTGCCACGTCTTTGATGGAAAAATAACTTGGGAGGCTGCCCATGAGCCTTTGCTTAGTCTTGGTTCACTGAACCTTACTCAAGCTCTCTGATCTGCAGGCCCTTTGCCAGGCCTCTCTTCAGTACAGTGCTGCATGAGACACCTCAGGCCTTATGAGCCAATTGCATGGCTCCAACCACCCTTTTACCATGCTCCATGCCTCGTGGATGTTACATTGTTGTTATGCTCTGCTGGGTCCTTGGCCTACTCGGACTCTGCACCTTTGGATATGGCTAGTCCTTTTAGTCTAGGCCTACCGTGTTGGGCCTGGCTTTGAGGCACTAGTCCAAAAACTTTTTATTACTGGGCCGCTGACCCTTGCAGCTTGCACCCCTCTGGCAATGGGTTCTCTGCATCCCCTGAGACTGCACCCCTCTGGTGCTGGGGCTCAACACAATTGTGTGCCCGCAATGAAGACTCCTCCTTCCCTATTAGCCTCTTCCCAGTCCATCGGTGCAAACAATAAACACAAACCTAAGCCCCTGGGGTACAATATAACATTAATAATAAAGGCAACACTCTACCCCATTAAGAGGGCCAACTCCCCTCACTTAGAATACCAGCCCCTTTTACCTCTGGGCACCTTGTGAGCCCCTAGAGTCTTACTGCAGTTGGAGGTAGCAAAGCAGGCAGCCAGATGCATAGGACTGCTCTCTTGTGCAGGAGCTCCTTCTCCTGGCAGTTGCCAAAGAGAGAGTAAGCCTCACACTCAGGTAAGTATCAGCTAAGAGCTCAGCCTCAGCCCTGCGCTTATGTGCACCCTGGGCTCTGACTCCTACCAGTCAGCTGACCACCTGCAGGTGCTGGCTAATTACCTTGTTAGCCTGTTACTCAGGCAACTTGCAGTTGTGGGGCTCCAGGTAGCCTTCCAGGCTCCTTTGCTAAGCTGCTTCTGCTCTTAAAAGGCACAGGCACCCCAAAGTGCCCTGCGATAATCAGTCCATATTGTATCAGTACTAATAAAACAAAAATTGACATTATCAGCAAATTGGCCATTTTTGGCTGATGTTGCTGATAAATGCTGTGTGCATGGGTGCAGCTGCAGCATGCACACAGCCAGGAGTACAGCCCGGCAGCTTGGAGAGCAGACTCAGGCAGGTAAGTCTGTGGTGTGGAAGGGGTGTGGGTGGGGCAGATTAAGGTCCCCCTAAAAGGAGGGAGGGAGTGGGGCTGGTGCAGGCACTTCCCAGCTGAGGGAGGGTGGGGCAGGAAACAAAGCAGCAAGTTGCTCGTCTGGGAAGTACGGGGAGAGGGCAGGGTTGGCTCCTGAAGCTCCATGCA